TGTTGTCAATGTAATTATACATGATAATGCACACGCGGGACTCTCGGTTAAGATGGTGGACCAGGGCTCACCACCCTATTTTTATCTCACAACTGAGTTCTCCGGCCAGGAACACACGATTTCCTTCATCAGCACTCGTCATCATTATCTGAAGGTGGAAGTGCGGAATTTATCTACTTTAGAAGAATGGCATGCGAGCTTCACTGACAATTGTACCTTTAAACATTTTCAACTTATCTCTGTAGATATTGAGGACATGACGAAGAGAACTGGGAATTTTAAAAACTTTAAAGTATTTACTTCAATGTTGTACAGTGTCGCTAAAAAAGTAGGTGATTTTCTTGTCTTACGGAAATGAAGACATCGTCGTCACTGACAATTGATTTAGTTTCTTACGAGGATCTTGAGGCACTACGTCAGACTGCGGCAAAAGACGAAGTTCGTACCATGACATCCAAAAAACCGGCAGACAAACACCGACGATATTTGATTTTAACATACATTTCTGATTTCGATCGCACATTTTATCCGCTACCACTAGTTTTTGTTGGCGTTCCTGAAAGAAGAAAGTTAATCGCCCAAGTTCATCAACTCCGAGAGGAACTTTACAATAGGAAAGAACCCATCTCAGTAACTGTGCTTGAGTTTTTGTGTATTTTTTGTAGTCCGATGAAAGTTCACAGAATCAGAACGATCAGCTGGAGAATAGGCAAGTTGACTTTTGTTCGGCTAATCCTTGTTCTCGTTGATAATTTTCAATAATTGTTATTGTCTGACCATCGCGACTGATTGCAGGTCCCAATCGTTATTCTATAATACATTTTATTTGTAGCTATCGTCTTACATGCACTTATCTCTTTTAACCCTAATTATGATAGCGAGTTCAAAAGGGTTGAATCAAGCCCTTCCAACCTGTTACGCTTACCAAATAAATTGAACTTCTTAATTGCTGAAAAGGCAATGCTCAATAGGTGTGATTTTTAATTTAAGTATGCTATCTTACGGCACTCTCGTGCAAAGTTTATTTGACGCACACATTTTCTTACTGCTGATTTATTTCTAACCGCATGAGCTTTAGTATATCTTCAAGCAGTCCGATAACCTAATAAGATATGTGGAGAACTCTTCTATCTCTCAGTCACACAAAGTTTTTGGGAAACAAGCGTGATTTTTTAAAACCCCTTAGTTGGTGCTCGCATTCACCGACTGTATCTCTGCCTTAAGTAGTAGTAACTCATCCATGCCACTTTTACTTTGCATCCACTGATCTCTAAGATTGCAAATTTTGGGCCATATGTATGTTCAGAATATCTAAAATATGCATGTTTCAAGTTGATTTTTATTTGAATAATTGGATGTCAATAAGGATTTGATATGTACCAGGAATAGCCAGACTGAAAAAAAGTAGACAGATTTTGTCGCATGGAAACTCAGTTATGCTTATAGATGTTAAATTTATGCGCACATTGTTTGGCTTTTCATCTTTAATTTTCCACGACTTTGTTTTAATCGCAGATTATATCTACCTTCATTCGATTATTTTAGAATAAAAATTGTCGAGAAAGAGCGTGATTCAGCAGTTCGCAAAGTTTCCCAATTGAAGTCATTTCTTCAAGCTATCGGGTCAGGCGAAAGTGGGCAAGCAGAAAATGAGCTAGAGGATGAACCCGATCCCCAACGACAACACATGAACGGCCAAAAGCCAGTGATTACCAATAATGAAAAATTGTTGGCAATGCAGGTTGAAAAACTGACTAGGGAGCTAGCTAAATACCGAGGAATAAGGTTCGCCCTGTTCTTATTATCCTTATATTCGCAGATTATTTGTTAGTAATGCACTCAAGAGTTTGATTTCATTATCACGTTATTGTGGTCCTACTGGTATGCACGCTTTTAATCCTCTGCAGCTAGCCAATTAGGGAATATAGATTGGGCTAAGTTCTCTCTTCCGACTAGGTTTCAAGGCATAACGCTCCGTCAAGAATAGGTGACGCCCAACGAAATTGGTCCTTTTAATGACCTACGACAATTTTTTAGTTTGCAGCACTTAAGATGATGTAGGTCATCCACTTTTACTTTGAATATTATAGCAAAATCGAAGCACTGTTTTTTTGCGTCAGCCTACATTGAGGACAAATTATCTTAGCATCACCACAAACGACTTGCACTAATAACTAGGGACAAGCTCTTGGTATACTTTTTAAAATTGGCGTTGTTTTTCGTGACATCTAGATTTATTTAACACTGGTAATAACGTCCTTAATTTTTGTTGCTCTGTCAGCGCACAATATGAATATATTAACCTCCGCGCCGAAAAATTAAATTTGTAGATAAGGTGGTGAACTCAGTATTGGACAGATTCGTCATCTAAACTACTGGGAATGTTAACAGATGGTGTAGCTAAGCTTCCTGCTACACTTAAAATTTAACTATATTATCAGCTTTCTGTCTGTTTCCCTTCCAATCTA